ACTATATATGTAGGGAATCAGAACCTATGCTAAGTAGAAAAGTGGGTTTGATAATAAAGTTGGCAGTGTATCCACCCAGGACAGGGTCTCTGTGATCAGAGGGGATTCCCTTCCTGGAAAATTAATCAGTAATCTAAACAAGATAATTTCAAAGCAAAACAACTGTATCCGTTATGAACCATAAGTACATAAATTCATACCAGTATAGAAATAATACTGTACAAGCTTTATATAAAAAATAGATTAATAACAGTACATACTGTACATCCAATGTACCAACAGGTATCATCAGCAAAAGGGCACAAGAGCAGTTCTGGTGGAATTGTGCACATATACCAGGATATACAGTACATAGTACTTAATAGAGAAACCTCCATATGAATGTTGCAGCAATGTCCTCTGAGGATGACGTGGCATCTGTTGTGTTGGAGGCCTGAAGATAAGATTAGCAGTCACATAGGGATCCTCAAACTGTTGTCCAATCAGCCTGGCGTGGAGCTTTTCACCAGCAGGAACCATGGTGTGGAACTGGACCTCGGAGTCGGGCCCTAAGCTCAAATTATTTATAGATTCCAGACCAGAAGAGACAGGGTTAATTAGAATAACAGGAGCTGCATATAACCTTTAATGCAATAAACAGGTACACTTACCAATATACTGGAAGGTGACTACTACACATACAGTAGCACAGACCTAGCTATCTGGCACTGTGCATGTGAAACATGGCTGAGACCTTCTTTTCTCCTCTTTACTTCCTACTTTCAAGGTTTCAAAGCCAACAACCCAGGGACAGGAAGTGCATATATAACATATTTACATGCATTTACAAATTTAGACAGTAGAGGGCAGCAAATCCCTACCCTAGTATCAGATTTGGTTAGGCAGTCTCATGTTAGATAGGAGACCCAGATTTGCTGGTAAAAATCTTCTTTGATGGAGATAGAGAAGACAAGGATTAACAGGCAAAGCTCCTAAGATGGGCACTAGGTTGATGTACTAATGCATTTCATAAAGTAACAACGTATTCCTTTACTAAAGTATTCCACTATCATTAAAGTGATACTAAGGTCTTGTTTTATTTTTTTAAATAACAAACATGTCATACTTACCTGCTCTGTGCAGTGGTTTTGCACAGAGCAGCCCGGATCCACAGCTTCAGTGGTCCGCCGCCAGCGCTCCTGGCCCCTCCCTCCTGTTGAGTGCCCCTATGGCAAGCAGCTTGCTATGGGGACACACCCGAGCAGGCAAGCTCCCATGCTGCGGCTCTACATGTCCATTCACTCACAGAGCAGTGGCTCGGTCCCACCCCCTCCTGATTGGCTCACTGGCTACTATGGCTCCCACTGCTGCCTCAGCCAATCAGGAGTGAGAATCCCCGGAAAACCAAGGCTCTCGTCGACATCGCTGGATCGGGATGGGGCTCAGGTAAGTGTTAGGTGGCTGCTGCTACACACAGGTCTTTTACCTTCATGCATACAATGCATGAAGGTAAAAAACCTTGAGCCACTTTAATCCTCCTCTCTCTGAACACTTAACCTTTCCTAAATATTAAACCTCAACAAATCGAAGAATCCTTTAAAACTAAGCCTCTCCAACTCTAACATTCAACCCCCCAAAACTTTAACTCAAAGATTAACTTTACCTCTATAATTTTTTTTTCGTCCTTACCAAGTTTCCTGGGTTATCCACAAAATGCATGCTTACACAACCAGTGAATCTGCTATTGTCTTGCTGTAATCTGACAGGCCACCCCTCTCCAGGTCCAATGCCACCATCTTCTTTGCTTGTATCATTGGGAGGAGCCCATCACTTTTTGGGATTTTGCAGCTGGCCCCCTAATGATGCACCGCAGCACATGCAGTGTGTTCTACATTGCCCCCAAAACCTCCTGAGATGTGCAACATGTGTATTTTAGGAGGCTTTGAGTGGCTGTGGATGTGATTGTTGCTTAGGCAAAAAAGGTGAAGGCCTGGTCTACAAAATTCTTTCAGGTTTTTACTGCTGTCTGTATCCCACTAAAAAGCTTCACCCTCTTTATTTGTTTTGGAGACAGTTGTCACATACAGAAAGTGATAGTAAATGCAGTATTTTACAGTTGTCACCACAATAGGTGAAGGAAAGTACAATAGGGACATCTGTTCTAGAGGGGAATTGCCCTAATTTTGTATAGGTTTCCTCTTGTATCAACAACAGGACAGGACACTCTTAACCATTCTATCCAAAACAGAAAACGATGGTATACATAAGCTGACAATATTTCAAGGGATTTTTAGAGTTGATGTATTCATTTTTTTTATATATATATATATATATATATATATATATATATAAAAATAATATAAACCAATCCGATTGGTGTCTCTCCAGAATTTTATCCAAAAGTTGTTTTTACACAATGTGGTACTTCCTCCAGCTGCCATGAATAAGACAAAAGTTACCCAACCACTACTATCTGCTTCTCAGATTCTTACTATTTTCCTGCAGCAAGGCCTTCTGGACTCAGGAGAAATACAGGGGAAGGGAGAATGGATAGAGACCCATTAAGTATTTTATTTTTAGAAGAGGATTGGTAAAAGGGCCAGGGTCAAACCAGACCTACAGACTGACAATCCCATATCTGTTCCAGATGGGAGAAAATGTGTGAATCAAGGGTATCAAGAGTATTTTTGCAGTGTGTCAGACAATCTGGCTTTTGCCACCTCATGTAACAGAGTCTGTGAGATTCTGGATTTGGTTTCAGTTTGGTAAAGTATGGAAACCTTCCATCCTTTCTATTCGTCTGCTTAGCGGCAGTAAGGACATGGACCATAAGTTTGAATTTAACCTTGAGCAGGTTTGGTGGTCTGATACAGAGAAGACCATGATGATTCCATGTCCCATTAGCACAGTGAAAAAGGAAAACATTTGTCCAGGATTGCCGAGCTATCAGGCATATCCACCATATGCACCTTCATATGCAGTCCAGGCCTATAAGCTGTATGGAACACTAAATTAAAGACAAAGGGCATGAGAGGTATACTCAGTGCTGTAATCACCTGGAGTATATATGGGCATCCCAGACCTGCATAGCATTTTCAGTACAAGATTGGATATCTTTGGTCTTTCCATGGGATATACCCACGGGAAATTGTTAATGTAAATCAAATTCCATCACCACTAGGGCTAGCCAGATTGGGGCTCTATCATAGCATGGAGTTTAGGGATATGGGCTAATTGATAATATTTAACAATGCTTGGGAGACCTAAGCCAAGCCACTATAAAGTTTGCTTTGGATCATAACCATACTACTTAGTCTGGGTTTATGGCTATTCCAGATAAAACAAAGTATTTGTATTGCACCGCTCTACGGATATAAGCAAGGACAGCAACCAGAAGAACCCTAAAATAATATAGCACTTATAGCAATATAGCAAGAAAGGTCATTTTAATTGTGGCCTGTCTTACCAGGACAGTGGAAATCAGTTAAAATGTTGACACAGACAAGCCTTTCCTCTAAGCACCACCGTATTTGTTAATGTATGCTTCAACATTCACTGTTACAATTTTGATTCAGATTTTTCTGAAGTGACATGTTGTATCTGTCTGCCTAAACATAAAACTAAAAAAATATTGAACATGAAAATGTTGACACAAAAAATCAGTGGGCTCCGTATTATACATACACTATATTTCCAAAAGTATTGGGACACTTGCCTTTACACGCACATGAACTTTAATGGCATCCCAGTCTTTGTCCGTAGGGTTCAATATTAAGTTGGCCCACCCTTTGCAGCTATAACACTATCAACTCTTCTTCGAAGGCTGTCCACAAGGTTTAGGAGTATGTCTATGGGAATGTTTGACCATTCTTGCAGAAGCACATTTGTGAGGTCAGGCACTGATGTCGGACGAGAAGGCTTGGCTTGTAGTCTCCACTTAATGTCATCACAAAGTTGTTCTATTAGGTTGAGGTCAGGACTCTTTACGGACCTTGCTTTAGTAAACTGGTGCACAGTCATGTTGGAACAGGAAGGGGCCATTCCCAAACTGTTCCCACAAAGTTGGGAGCATGAAATTGATCAAAACGTCTTTGTATGCTAACGCCTTAAGAGTTCCCTTCACTAGAACTGTCAGGAAAGGCCTGCCAATAGTGCAGGTGAAGTTCCGCGGTGCACAAATATGCGCATGCGCAGAGTCCTTACGAGCCAAACAGATGTGCAGGCACTTGGACATAGGCGCCCATACATGCACTCGTGCATACAGACGCGCGCCTGTCACTAATGCTGGCACCTAAAGGGCTATTTAAACTGGCTGCAGTAGTTGTCCCATTGCCATATGGTCTTATCCCTGCTCGTGTTCCCTGATTCCTGTGATTGTCTCCTGATACCACACCAGCTTGTTCCTGACCTTCTCTTGACCGCTACCTGCCCTGACCTGGCCTGTGACCCGACTACTCTTCCTCCTGCCGCTTTAAGCCTCATCTGCCTGACCAATACCAATACCAAACCCGACTCGCCTGACCCTGCATCCTCAGCACTCTGCTCCCGGGTATCCATCCATCCAGCATGGCTGCATCAGAACCCTGCTCCCTGCCTACAATTTATCAGCTTACCAGCTATTACTGGACTGATCACAGTTTCTCATACCCCACCGTGCCCCTGTGACCGCTGTCTCACCATCAGCGGTCCTTGAGCTGGAGTTGTACGGGAGGCCTGCCTCTTCACATCAGGCTCACTATCCAGGAACGTGACAGCAACTAAGGGGTTAAGCCCCCAATCCCTGAAAAACAACTCCACACCATAATACCCTCTCCAGCAAACTTTACACTTCGCACAATGCAGTCAGGCAAGTACCGTTCTCCTGCCAACCCAGACACATCCTTTGGATTGCCAGAGCAGCTTGATTCATCAATCCAGAGAACACGTGTGCACTGCTCTAGAGTTCAGTGGCGGCGTACTTTACACCACTGCATCCGACACTTTGCATTACACTTGGTGGTGTAAGGTTTGGATGCAGTTGCTTGGCGATGGAAAGCCATTCCATAACGCTCTCTATGCACTGTTGTGCTAATCTGAAGGCCACATGAAGTTTGGAGGTCTTTAGCTATTGACTCTGCAATTTGTGACTTCTGCGCACTGTGCGCTTCAGCATGTGCTGACCCCACTCTGACATTTTACGTGCCCTACCACTTTGTGGCTGAGTTGCTGTTGTTCCCAGTTGCTTTCACTTTGTTATAATACCACAAACAGTTGACTGTGGAATATTTAGTAGCAAGGACATTTCACAGATGGACTTATTGCACAGGTGGCAACCTATCAGGGTTCCATGCTTGAATTCACTAAGCTCCTGAGAGTGACCAGTTCTTTCACAAATGTTTGTAGATGCAGTATGCATGCCTAGGTGCTTGATTTTATACACCTATGGCTATGGAGGTGATTTGAACATCCGAATCTAATGATTTGGATGGGTGTGTCCCAATACTTTTGACAATATAGTGTATATGCAAATTGTATCAGTCCTGTTATCAGCCCTCAAAATTTCCACTCACCCGCTCACATTGGGCAAGTGGAAATAAGGTGGGGGCGAGCAACACTGGGAGTAGAGATATGTTCTTCCTTCCTTCATTCAGCACAAAACATTTAAAAGTGCCATGTCATGAGATAATTTAAGAGGGCGCGTTTAGGGGCGGGGCAGGGTAGGGGAACTAGTGATAAGCAAACCTGACTTGTAGCGCAGGACTTGAAATTTAGAACCCTGCTATTATCATATATACAGTGCCTTGAAAAAAATATTCATACCCCTTGAAATTTTCCACATTTTGTCATGTTACAAACAAAAACGTGAATATATTTTATTGGGATTTTGTGTGATAGACTAACACAAAATGGCACATAATTGTAAAGTGGAAGGAAAATGATAAATGGTTTTCAAAATTTTTTTACAAATAAATATCTGAAAAGTGTGGGGTGCATTCAGCCTTTATTCTGACACCCTTAACTAAAATCTAGTGGAACCAATTGCCTTCAGAAGTTACCTAATAATTAAATAGAGTCCACCTTTGTCTAATTTAATCTCATTATAAATACAGCTGTTCTGTGTACCCCTCAGAAGTTTTTTACTAAACAGTGAACAAACAGCTTCATGAAGACCAAGGAACACACCAGACAGATCAGGAATAAAATTGTGAAGTTTAAAGCAGGGTTAGGTTATAACAAAAAAAAATTCTCAAACTTTGAACATCGCACGGGGCACTGTTAAATCCAGCATCCGAAAAATGGAAACAGTATGGCACAACTGCAAACCTACCAAAACATGGCCGTCCACCTCTCTGACCAAGCCCCAGTGGGTGGGGTGAAACATGTTTCAGGGGGCATGGCCAGTACAGCAGTTGAGGCAATTCCTTAAAATTGGACTTATGGGGATCGGTTGAGCAGCGTCCATCCCTTCATTTGTATTGGCTGAAACTGGAATTGCTTGGACTCATGATCCCCTTTTCGCACTTGCCGCTGGGGTGATCCTTTTTCCTCCATCCATAGCTTGGAGCAGTACAATAATGCATAATTTTCACTATGGCCATCCACATAAACTGACAGGCTGGGCAAGGATGGAATTAATCAGCCAAGAGGCCAATGGCAACTCTGGAGGAGCTGCAGAGATCCACAGCTCAGGTGGGAGAATCTGTCCACAGGACAACTCTTAGTTGTGGACTCCACAACTCTGGCTTTTATGGTAGAGTGGCAAGAAGAAAGCCATTGTTGAAATAAAGCCATAAGGAGTTCTGTTTGCAGTTTGCGAGAAGCCATGTGGGGGACAAAACAAACATGTGGAAAAAGGTGCTCTGGTCAGATGAGACCAAAATTTATCTTGTTGGCCTAAAAGCAAAACGCTATGTGTGGCAGAAAACTAACACTGCACATCACCCTGAACACACCATCCCCACCGTGAACCATGGTGGTGGTGGCATCATGTTGTGGGGATACTTTTCTTCAGCAGGGACAGGGAAGCTGGTCAGAGTTGATAGGAAGATGGATGGAGCCAAATACAGGGCAATCATAGAAGAAAACCTGTTAGAGCCTGCAAAAGACTTGAGACTGGGACGGAAGTTCGCCTTCTAGCAGGACAACGACCGTAAACATACAACCAGAGCTACAATGGAATGGTTTAGATCAAAGCATATTCATGTGTTAGAATGGCCCAGTCAAAGTCCAGACCTAAATCTAACTGAGAATCTGTGGCAAGACTTTAAAATTACTGTTCACAGACACTCTCCATCCAATCTGACAGAGCTTGAGCTATTTTGCAAAGAAGAATGGGCAAAAATTTCACTCTCTAGATGTGCAAAGCTAGTAGAGACATCCCCAAATACTTGCAGCTGTAATTACAGCAAAAGGTGGTTCTACAAAGTATTGACTTAGGAGGGAGCTTAATACAAATGCACGCCACACTTTTCAGATATATATTTGTAAAACATTTTGAAAATCATTTTCCTTCCACTTCACCATCATGTGCCACTTTGTGTTGGTCTATCACATAAAATACATTTATGTTTTTGGTTGTAACATGACAAAATTTGGAAAATTTCAAGGGGTAAAAATACTTTTTAAAGGCACTGTAGTACTGCTTTAGCCATAAAATAGTCTACAGTGTTCATGGTAGGTACACAGTGCCTTATGTACAGTGCTGAGTATTTGCCTCCTTCCTGATATATTATATATTTGTCACACTTAAATAATTCAAACCATCAAAAAAATTATTACATAAAGATAACGAGAAATATAAAATGCAGTTTTTAAAATGCTGATTTCTTTTATCAAGAGAAAAAAGCTGTCCAAACCTGCCCAGCCCTGTGTGAAAAAGTAATTGCCCAAACCCTGCCCCTTGATAAATAACAAATGCACTGTGATTACCAACATTTTTTGGAAAGCGGCGTTAAATTTATGTCTGCCCTTTCCCTTCTAGATTGTACCTATTAAGTTCCTGAAGTCTCTCTTGATAGGCTTTATCTCTCAGACCTTTCACTATTTTTGCTGCCTGTCTCTACACTTGTTCTATCTTAATATATTTTTGTAAGTGAAGTTTCCAGAACTGGACAGAGTATTCTAAGTGTAGTCAAACTAAAGATATACTTCATATTCGGGGAATCAGGTCCTCCTTCCTCCTGCTGGTGACTCCTTTAATGATGCATCCTAGAACTGCATTTGCTTTTAACACACACCTAAAAATAAAGTGTATCTGCCAAGAATTCTTTTGTCAAATGGATATGGAAATAGAGGACATAACCAACCCAAATGGAATAACCATTATATGGAATAACTGGAAAGAACTGATACAAAATACACACATATCACATGGGGCCCCATGCAATTTTGAGTAATTTACAGTAAAATAAAAATGGCATATTAAACTATTGTATCGTGGTGACACAGCAACTCTTATTTGTACACTTTCCACTTTGACACCATTAACTGTTTGTATAGATTATAAAACTTATTCTAGGTTGTAACTCTACAAAAGTTAAAGTGGTATCAAACCGAAGAACAAATATTTATTATATAGTAGCTTCTTTCTTAGATGTGATGGCTGCATTCATTTTCGTTTTTAGGCTCTTTCTTCTATTTTCATCTGGTGAGCCAGCCAGTAAGCCTGATGTTTCTCAAAAGCAGAAGATCTCCAAAAGAATGCATCAGTAACAGAGATGAATCAAACTAACTATTTAACACTAGCAGAAGTGCTAACTATGATCAGCTTTAATTAAAACCTTTATCCCAAAAGGAAAAAAAAAAAAAGACTCTTTTCGATAACAGCTTCTAAAGTATTAGCTAGAGTTTGGCTTCAATTTGTCAGTGTGTTTAAATCTGCTAGTGCATCCAACACTCCCCTCTCCCCCACATTGACAATGCTGCTGCCCAAACGTGCCCCTGTGCTCCTTCACCCAGAGTGGGGGCACTCTAAAACAGGAGGTGTGTTGCAAGATCAACAGGTAAAAACAGAGAGGGGAAAAGTTCTTTAAAAAAAAAAAAAAAAAAAAGCAAAGTTACACTTACGTTAACGCCTTTTCCAGGAGTCCTTCAGACACCACCTCGAGACCATGGCTCCTCCCCACCTTAGGAAACCCAAAACAAAAGGCCTGCCTCTCCCCTCACGACCTCAGTTCACAATCAAGCACCTCTGGTCGCCTGGGGAGACACAACATACGACACAAAAAGCACAATAAAAGGTATCTCATGAAACCATGCAACAGAGGGTGGGTAACCAGTGCTGTCCTGAAAGACTCCTGGAAAAGGCGTTACCATAAGTGTAACTTTGCTTTTTCTTTTCTCCGTCTTTCAGGACAGCACCCCAAGAGGATAAGCGAGCACTCACCTCTAGGGAAGGACCACTGCTTGCAGAACCCTACATCGGAAGGCCTGCTCTTGCACCGAGACCAGGTTGAGTCTGTAATGTTTGTAAAGGTGCCGTAACTGGACCAAGTCACAGCTCTACAGATCTGCCCTGGGGAAGCACCATCCCGCTCAGCATGTGTAGCCGCCATGGCATGGGTAGAATGTGCCATGATGCCCTCCGGGACCTCCAGGCCCTCGGACAGATACGCCTGCTAGTCTTAGCCACCTAGCTAAACTGGAGGCCTTCTGGGCCTTCCTTACGCCTGAAAAAGAAACAAAAAACGAATCCCACTTCCGGAACTCTTTAGTTTTCTCTAAATAAAGGAGAACACGTTCTCACGTCAAGCGTGTGAAACCTCTCTTCCAGGTCACACGAGGGGTTAGAACAAAAAGGCAAAATAATATCCTGAACCTCTATGAAAACTCGAGGCCACCTTGGGTACAAAGGTCGGGTCCGTCCTTAATGTAACCCTATCTGTAAATACCTTAAAAAAGGGGCTCTAATTGACAGAGCTTCTAATTCACTCACTGTTCTTGCACTTGTAATTGCTACAAGGAAGGCCATCCTGAGAGTTAGGAACCTTAGGGAGCTCAAATCCAGAGGTTCCGTCAGCACATTAAGAACTGTCTTCAGATCCCATTTGGAAAACAGTCTACCCCCTGCCAGTCTTTGTCTGGTCAAGGACCTAAAAAAATCTTGCTACGAGTACCTACTTGGCTAACGGGGACTCCATAAAAACACTCAGAGCTCTTTAGTGTACTAACAGCTAAACCCTTGTCGGCCCCTGCCTGTAAAAATTCCAGGACCGAAACAAAGCTATAAATCTCCATTGAGGCCTGGGTACACCATCTATTGAAGCATTTCCAGACCTTCAGATAGATCGCCCAGGTCTCTTTTATTCTACTATTCAGGAGAGTGGAAACTAACCTGGGAACCCTTTGCTTAATAAGAGCTGTTCCTCAGAAACCAAGCCGACAGGTTCCATCTGTCTACCCTGGGACACAGGACCG